AACATCTCATCCCCACATTAACCTGCTAAACATGACTGTGAATCCTCCCCATTTGAAGTCTGTCAAGAAATATTAGCTCACGGTAAATCATAAAACACATATCATTGCGCTGTTCCTGCTCCTGTATACATGATACACTGTGCCTCACAATCATAAATTCCTCAATATCCTCCTGGGAGGGTTGCCCACATCTTGTTTGGCTAGTAATCATTTGGCACTGCGCTGTGTTACATAGTTCTTGGAATTGCAATATAAACGGTCCAATGAGTTTCTGTTGTATGAGTTGGAAGTAGTGATTTGTGCCAACAACAATTTTCTCCCGTTCATATAAATTTTGATCGATGTGATACTTTTTAAGCCTTTTGTATACCCTTGTGAGGTCTACCCAAAATCAAAAACACAATAATTGAAATTACATGACACATGAACAAAAAAGATGTAGTTCCCAACTTCTTGCTCGGTAAAGCGATTATTCAATTTGAATTTTTAGCAAATTAAAAGAAATTCTAACCAATTTATGCAAAAAACCTATCAGACAAATTTACATTTTTGATCATCAGTCGAAGATGATAGCATTACCTCACAAAAAGGCGATCCATAAATCAAAGCTTAGCATGACTTCACTTTTATTTGGTAACACCTATACATCGATCCTGATTTCCAAAATTCTGCTGAATGGAATAGCCTATAATATAATAGGTGTTTTATCGAACTCTGCCTTAGTATTGTTTTGCGCGGGTTTATCTGTGACTATAACTGGCTCAATATTTCCGATGTTTTATATCCCATGAGTTAACTATTATCATAAAAGTATGGTAAATTACTAGTTATTTTCTGATTCGTGATATACATTCAAATTAGGGTATTTTTAAATGAGTATATGAATTAAACTGGTTGCTTCAAAGACGAGCGGATCATTTTAATTTCACGAAAACAGTAACTTATTAAAATTGTTTAACACGATAAAAACCGCGTTTACCACGAAACGGTGAATGATGACATATTAAGAGCGAGAAAGGAATTGTTCAACTCTGGACTTTGGAATGAAATATCTGACTACCCATCTATATAAAGTAAATAAGTGTTTGCGTTGTTGAATAAATACGGAAGTAATGGTACGAAGTTGAATTGTTATGGTCTCAATTTTTTTCTCATTCAAAATGCACCCTTGATTAATGTGAATAAAGCAATGTGGGAATTTTGTCTTCATAATTTGATTTGACATTGGGAGAAATATGACTAACAGATTCTTAGCTCACTCCAACCAGTTAAAAATAAATGAACATATTTTAAAGGAGAATTTCTTCAACGCTGATCTCAATTATTCATGTAGGAAATTAAATTCGTTTATAATATCGTTGTTGCAAATATTTTGATAAAAATAATGTCTACTCCTATTTTCTGGTTTCCGGTGACAATAATCCAAGAATAAGACAAAATATTTCGTTATTTTTACGCTCACAATTTTTGTCCATACGGTAAAACTTCATTTTTATGTTCAGTTGTGTATCAAACATATACGCTTCACTTTCGAGTATATTATTCTATTTTGACAAATCACCCGGAAGTTGTTTTCACCAACTGTTGGAACAATAAAACATTACTGCACTTGATCTTCAACAATCAAATACCGGAAGCAGCCAATACACCTATATTTAAACCAAGTGGAGTTTGAAAACCAACAGTGTCAAACTGATAGTAAGGAAATGACTTCGAATTGCTTTGCGGGGGAAAGGCATCTATTTACTGCGAGGTCTACCCAAAATCGAAAACACAACAATTGAAATTACATGGCACATGAACAAATATGATGTAGTTCCCGATTCAGTTTGCCTGTGTCATTGGTTTCTCTCCCCCGCAGATAAATAGATGTAATTTCAATTATTGTGTTTTTGATTTTTGGTACACCTCGCAGTAAATAGATGCCAAATATGTTTTTGTATATTGAAAAATTGCACAGAATTAAATTAATTGGGATTAGTGGCATAATCTATCATCTTCGCGTTCAAAATATCTAACGGAACGTTGGGAGAACCCATGAACTTTGAACTATATGCCAAATCTGACGCTGATTAATTCACGCAGTGATGAAAGATGAGACCTCTCCAATATTTTTTGTTGTCTTTGCTATATAACTAATTTAACCATTTAAATTGGCATAATTTACAAGTGTATAATGATGGATTCAACGGAAATCGGGCGGTTGAATATAGGTTGTTTTATCCTATGTCTCTATTTCCGACCTGCCAAAGACGATTGATATATTTGTATAGGTGTTTTGCTAAAAACAAGGTGATAAACCGGAAAACATTTGAAAAATGTCTTCAGACCACAAAAGCGTGACGCACATAACATTGGAAAACGAAAAAAAATTGTCTTCGAAAAATAGTTCTTTCAAAAACACTTTTAAAACCCAACGTCATTTATTATCAAATTTCAGCTTGATTCTGACTTCATAATCGGTAAAATAGAAGAGGGAAAAGTGATCTCATCGGAGAGTACTAAATTAAACGTATTGTTGTTGTTTTTCGCTTGACAAAACGTTCAAAAGCTAAGAAAAACATCACATTAAAACAATGCCATTAATTTGTCATTAGATATCAAGATAAATAATCTTAAGTAAAATCAAAATGCCAAAAACATTTCGTGATATCAGATTATACCATTCAAAAATATAAAAATAAATTTCAAACTTTGTCAAAACAACTTTTTCAACCAACTGGGTTAACGATTTAAAACGAATTGGATAAAAATAACAAATCTCCCTGTCGGTTTTTATTTTCAATTTAAAGTTTTCTTTTTGATTGGTATGAATGGAATGGTATGTGTGTCACGAGAATACTATACGCCATACTTGTCAACGCATGACTGTACATAAACCAAGCTACCAAATGCAAATTTTAAACATTCCATACTTGACCAAACTAGGGGAAATTAATTTTGATCAAATTCCCTTGAGAGCTCGACTGATTCACAAAAATACATTGTTACCAACAACGAATTGAAGAGCTCCCCGTTCCAAGGGTATTTGGTTTGTTTTAAAGTTGAAGTGTCCTCGGTAGAGGTTTTGCGTAAACAACATTTTAATTAAAACAATGACCTGAAATTTTGCGATGTTATGAAGTGAAACTATAGTCAATAATATTTTATAGTAAAAATGAAAAAAATAGAGAAGTATTGTTAGTATTGTAGAGAAAGTCGCGAAAATAATATTTATGGTAACTTTGGAGAAAAGGACAAAATTCTCCTTTGCGTCCGAAACGATAGTTCCTGCTCGGAAATTCGTTCATTTAACATATAAATATAAACAAAAAATGCGACTGCGTCGTGATTACTAATCTCACACTTTCTGAATTAATGAAGTTATATACAAAGTGACAAGCTGTCGTCAGCAACAGAAATTTTTGAGGGGGTGTTGAAGTCATATTCGAAGTTGCTTTAATATTTCCATTTTCGATGAATTTTTCAATAAAGGTAAATGTCGAAAGTGTGTGTGATGGTGATAAGATTATTGGATACAAAAATAGAGATTTATGCTTAGAGCACGTTGTTAGTAGGTACGTCGTCTTCACTGACATATTATGTTAATGTTAAACTCATTTGAGTCTCATCTTTCGAAATGTCATTAACGTTGTTTCAATGTTTATCACCAAGCCAATAGTATCCATGTGTCAGTTAAATAAGCTAAAAATATCACGTCAAGCTGCAGTCTCCGATTTATGTGCAATATAATCGATTTTACCTTTCTACGTAAATCAACAACGACGATTGAAACCGCCTGTTGGAAAACACCGTCTTTTTTCAAACCAGTGTAAACAAATATCATGAATTCTCCATACAGCTGTTAGATAAATGTTCAATATAGTTGACCTGATCAAAAGTTGCTCTATCTAACACACTTGGGCCGGGCATATTGTGTACTAAACAGACACACTACGTTTATTGCAGCATGTTATGCTGAGTTGCAGACTGTGTTCTGCTGCACTAATCTCATTTCCTCTAGGGATTTATACTCCATAGCGTTCGTGTTCAAACAATGAATCATTTCGCTCATTTACAATGCATGAAAATATGGAATTATTTCAATATATTTTATAAACTTCGAGATTTGATGTTATTTCTACAAAAGTGATGAATTAGAACATTTGATTAAATTTTCTTGATACCAGGCAAACTGAATCCAGACTCCAAAATCGGAATAGTTAAATCAATTACACATTTCGCGAAAATTGAATGCATTTTCCTCTATGTATGTGTATACTCATGCTAATGTAATTTGTACTTATGCTAATGATTATGAAAACAAATGCCAAATACATACTTCTACGATATTCCGCGTAGAAAACGAATACATTTGCAATTAATGTCGTCTGGGTTCACAAATGCCTTTGGGGTGACATATCGAGCTTGTGAGATATAAGCAATAATTTGGCCCAAGTTTGTTTGATCTTAAACAAAGTCTAATATTATGCTATTGAGTACGCCAATTTGATGACAAAGTCGTAAAATATTTTAACTGCCATTGCGGTTAAAACTTAGCCAAAGCGGCAAAGCGTGTTGCACGATATGTCTGCGACTCAAGACGCCATAAAAGCGCAAATATGCCAACTAGTACGTCTATGTTGACGTCACAAAGTTAGGAATTTCTCCGGTTAACGCATGTTGACGTCACCATCGGAAAAACAAATAAAAAAGCCACACTGTCATGCAACGCAACACCAAAACAATATTTTCGAAAATAAAGAAGACTCCAGTTTCATGTTACAACTAAAACTCGCTTTACTTATTCAATGAAAAATTTAATATGATCAAAGCAACCTTGTGTTAATACATCACAGTATATACAGCAATCATCGACTACATGAATTTATCAATCATAATTTTATAAAAAATGATTAGAAATATCGTCAAATTCGACTGCATCTCTATTCGTATATCCCAGTACAACTTGAAGTATGCAGGATTGCATTTCTATAGCGAAATAATTGAATGAATCATACCTCGTACACCATTGAGCAGACACCATCAATAAAACCGATTTGCATTTTGGGAAGATCTTTTTGTTTCTTCCGATCCATCATAGCAATTGGTTCAGTTCCAAATAATAGTCTTTCTTGATCTCCTTGGTCGTAAAATTCGTTTGTGACATTGACCGCCATCTAAAACACAAAATGAAGTTGTTTGGTGATTTTCCTTTGAGCAAGAATTAGGCTTCAGTATATTAGCTATAATTTGGTATGTCTTACCATTGTTTAACATGATAATCTATCATAAACAATGATGATATAACAATACGCTCAGACATGAAACATACTAAATGGATCTTCAAGTTATTGGTTAATTATTGCGTATCCAGATCGAAACTAGTTTTTCAAAAGGTCATAAGAGCTGTTTATTGCGACGGAATTAAAAATTCAATATTACGGTATACTAATTTACGAAAATGGTTGAAAACGCCGGACGTGTTTAAAGCTAATATTTGGACTGATCGTTGCGAAAGTTTGTCATTGAGAGTAGTTATGCTTTTTACATTCTAGAAATGATTATTATTCCTAACACGTGAATTGGGAATTGTAATTTTCATTTTCGATGTATACATCATATATCAAAAAGTATATGGTAAATTGCACTGTACACACAATCGTTAACTTGCAACTTTTTACTATAATCAAATGATCTTGATGGACAACGAATTCTCCTTGTCGCTGGTTTGCGGATAATGCCGAAAAAGTCTTATGTTTATTTTATATTTTCAATGCTCAACAAGATTTCAATTGCAGTAATGGCGGTTTTATATTATTACACGTGTATTGATAAGTAGCTGGTCACATCGAAATTGATTTTAGATATATCCCCAAATGATGCATACGGTGCGCCTTGACTATAACTAATTATAGTTGCCAAGAAACTCATTAACGAAGAAAACCTTTATCAAAAACATTTTTTATTTTTGTCGAGGATTAATGAAGTAACCCATTAGCGTGACATTATCACACGCTTCTTTACGATTATGGTGACTATAGAAAAATGTATAGGTATTTTTCAGGGAATGGAGAACGCGTGTCTTCAAACCTTGTTGGAAGATTAGTAAAATCTAGCGACATTCACGTGGCCTGTATTTCGATTATAAAATATCAATCACAAATGAAATTCGACCAGATTTCACGAATAAACGAAAATTTTGCCATGAAAATTATTCGAAATAAACCAAATTTACTTCAAGAACAAATAAAAAAAATAATCGGGAATATTTTGAGAAATTCCAGCTCCCACATTTTTTACTTATTGCGACACCTAGCGTGATATTGAACTGGGATATTAAAAATTCGAAAAGATTTACTGCAGCTGTTTTTTGGAGTTGAGAATACAATGTAACGGATGTTTCTTGTTATACCAATCACCATTTCGCATACATGGGTATTTGAAGAATACTTTTTTTGTGTCGAATTCACTATTGCTTTATATTGGATTTGCACTGTTTAATTTATGCTTCAATTTCCGTTAAATCTGTGCTGATGTATATTGATGTCCCATCGCGCCTTTTGTTTTATTCTTCAATTCTTATCCGGTAGCGTCTAACAAAAGATATCTAATACCGGTAACGCCAGTTCATTTTGTCTATCTTTATCTACTTTTCAATCAGATTGTGATGTTTTTTGAAGATAAATTTTTAACGATCGATACAAATGCTTTCATTCTAATCAGTATTGCAACAGCACATTGTTATTCTTGACAAAAAATCGATTACGAATGAAAGAACGAAAATACAGAATCAAAACTGCTCAATATGGGCATAGCCGTTTGAAACATTCTTATGATAAAACCATCGGAAATGGCGTCAGCTATCTACGTGTAAACAACTTTGACGTTGTGTGACGCAATTTTGACGTAACTCCAACCAAACAAAATAATTGAATTGAGAGTCTTCACCCTGATGGTCTACTCTATTTAATGATTCGTATTTTTGTAATCATATTTAGCGATATAAACAATTTAATACGGAATGTTCACGAAATACTTATATTGCATAAAATGAAGTATTATCACATGGATGTATCAGACACGCGTTCTTGCCACTTATGGGAAATGTTATTTGAGGGAAACGCTGCCGTGCATCTTTTAGACGAGGTTTTCAAATGAAATTTGCCATACTCGTGGATTTTGAATACGGACAAAAGAAGAAAATGTACTTTAAAAGTTTTTTGTAATAAACTGAATACTATAGCGCAGCGGATTTCGCGAAGTATAAGTAGTGTTTTAGATACCAATGGTTAACTCTGAAATCGATTACAATGTTTGTGTATGTTTGTTTTTATTCAGATAGTCAACTTAGATCACGTCGTAATTAAGTGGATAAAAGAACTATGCGCCATAGTCACAAGGTATTTAGTCACGTATGCATCCTATAAATAAGAATATGTGTTTGTGAGTGGTCAGTATAGAAATATGTTAATAATTGAAGTTCATTCGGTTCCAGCATATTGGTTACAATCTTTCGAGCATGGCCGTACATAATGTACATATTAGAAGAATGACTCATGGTCTATATAAGCGTTTCCGGTAGAATGTCAAAATATAAATTTATCCAATCCAATCGACTACAAGAGCTCTCGTGCTCATTTTTATCTGAAGTATATGCACCGACTTATATGCCCTCCAACCTACGTATTAAAAATTCCTAAACTCAACGCTTTTAAAGGAAATCGTTAACATACACTAAAATTTCACCGCGAATAGAATTTCAGGACTTTTATACAATAACAACCAATCCTCCGAATTCTCATATATGCAAGCAAACACATTCATATTCGCAATCACAGAGTTACTACAGACACTGAACTCCTTTCCTGCATACGCCTCCGGTAACTCAGTAATCGTTGAGTACGGGGATATTTTATTTACAGCATCAAGAGTTGTTACTTTAATATTTATATATAAATTCGTATTATTTCGATGTCCAGTTAGAATACTAATTGATATATACCGCACGATCCCCACCTTTTCATTCAGCCAATCACAACTGGCCATTTGTACGAACGCGATGTTTTTATATTTATTTTACACAAAAAGGAACAAGAAACATATTTTGCCTTGACAGAGCAAAGCAGTAACTTCGAGGCTTGCCTTTGGTTCTTCCAAATTTGCTATTTGTTTCACAATTTTACACTCAACTTATATATACAGGTAAAATATATAAATACTGAGCCAGTTGTTGTCTGTATTCAGCTTGTACAAGTTGTTTTCTGCGACCTACATAGCGCGCTTCCCGGAAGGAAGGTCGGGATGTGGGAGAGAACAGCAAAGAATCGTAAAGAATTTTTAGAATTGCACAGCCTTCGATGTGGTTCAGATCAAAGCGTGCATAAGTGACCGCGCGATATGTAATGTTGTATTGAAGCTTTGATGTAACAATACAGTGTTAGTAGTCGGATGTTCTTTGAAATCGCACACACAAAAGACATAATCTATTAGATTGGGCAACCGAAAAAATTTGATGACTCAAAATATTTTCGTAGCGCGAAATGTGACTGCATTGCATGATTTTCCCTATCATTAAAATATATTAATTATTTCTAGAATATTTGTGTGTTGTGAAGGTTTATCATGGTCTGCGATGTCGACAACATTATATCGATCTGCAAAACACCTACCCCGGATAATTTTCTAATGATTATCACACTATTTTAATCCAATTTCTAATTCAAAAGCAAAATTTATCAAAATTGGAGAAAAGAGTACTGAAAGATAGTTCAAGAAGCTTCCTAAAACACTGGTCAATAGCAAGTAATGAGATGAAAGTAAATTTAGATTCCAAAATTATTTGTAGGCTTCTCTGCAAGGCGACTTGTTCTATTCATATCCCATGAATGGTCATTGATTCACACATATCATTCAAAGGTGCGAAAAAGTATATCTTTTGCTTTGTCATCCTAAAATTCATATTCTGGTAAAAATATGTCACATCGATCTTTTCCGTATTTTTACTTCAAATCATTCCGATGTGGGTGGTATGAATGTATTTGAATATTAGGAATAAATTACAAACAAGAGTAATTCTTTGATGAATTGGACAGGCGGCTGATTGCCAAAACTAATTGAAATAAAACATAGGCTTCCTGATTTTTCAAGACAGCATACTAATTATATGGCTAATTTTAGAAAGCCTGTCTCCTTAGTGTTCCTCTGAGTCTATTTTTAGCCCAATTCTATCAATAAATTTTCTTCAATGATAAGCCAAATATTGACCCGGTTCAGCTTTCTTTGCTGAGGTAAAAGATGAGCAAGACGTTTGCCTAATCATTAGCCGGCTTACGATAAATTCTGGAATTGTTCCAGAGACGAGTTATATAAGTATCGTCATACGATGTTATGTAATACAAGTAAATATCAATATATTCTGCAAGTAAATTTTTTATGCATGACTGAATACATCTATCGTATTCGAGGGACGCCACATTTGTTGTCAAACTCATCCCAGAGTTTACTTCAAATCAAGCAATAAATATACTTAAACTTAGATAAAAAATAATAGCACGTCACCGATGTTTTAAAGATCTACCACGCGGAATAGCGCAATTCCCACCAGGTTTAGGTTTATGGGAGAATAATTTGAAAAATAAGCCGTGCTGTAGAATCGGCAAATATATTGAGCAATTCCAACAACAAGCTTAATTAAACTTCTTTAGTGAACGATGATTAAAACACAATGTATTTTTTTTCAACTCTCAGTAACTGTACTGAGCCATGTTTGAAACACGGCATTTCATTACCTCATAGGAAATTTTACAAAAGAAACATAGAAATGCGCTACTAACCAGTTGTTGAACTTCCCAAGGTTTCGTGATTGAAGAAAGATCACATGCTGTCATCAACATCGACCTGAAATTGTGGTAAGATGAATATAAAGCCTGTTTTAGTCTCCGCAAAAGTGAAAATTAAACCAACTAACTGAATGTCTTAAAGCAAAATTTTTTCGACTGAATTGAAATCTTGAAATAATTACATACAACACCCTTTTGCCCAAGACATAAACACCTTTAAATAAGTTTTTTAAGATTTTTAATATGTTCAAATTAAAAAATTCTCGTTTTTCAAAATTGAAGGAAATTGAGAAGTAATTATCAAAATAAAATTTAAAAAATTTTACACAAAAATAGTTAAAACTTACATCAGTAACATTTTATTATCTGTGGTCGTAAAATCTCTAGCTTCCGGTTTATTTTCGTCCAAAAGTTTGCGGAAAGTGTTTCTTCGTCTGTAAATAAAATATCAACAATTTCAAAATGAAAGTACAGCAAGCACCTTGTTGATGTATTTGTACGTGTTGGATATATCAAGGTAGAAACAAATAGCCTGTTTGCATCCCATAAGGCTTCAGAACTATTTCGAACACTCAGGCGCAAAGTAAGCTTGCGTGCGCCGCATGTGGATATTGGTTGGGATTTATTATGACCGAACAATATTTTCGTCGAAATATGTGGCTTTTCCGGTTAATACATCAGTACTGGTTTATGACGATTCCGGGTTTATATAAGGCAACCGATTTCATCTACTTACTGGAAATATAGAGCCAAATCTGTAGCAAGAATAGCATGTTTCATTATTTCACAAGCATAAGTGAACTCTTCATCGGTAAATGATGCAAAAATATCGCTGCCTTCCATCCTACTGATTTGTAAGCATGTATTGTAATGATGGTTTTCCAATGTCGACGTGTTATATAGGACAGCGAGAGGTGCTCCAGCTCTGAAAATATAAATTGTTTTAGAAATGCATCTAGGATTTTGAACATAAGATGTCAGCATAGTCGAATTAGCGTCCTAACCACAAGGTAATCGTCTTATTGAAAAATACATGTACTTAGATTAGGATTAGGATTTACATATTTATCCCGGGGGAGAGGAAAGCCGATATGGCGAACCACGGCCTCTCGTCCGGTTACCATTCCAAGTCGGGTATGGGATTAGTTATATTGTCTGTTTTCGGAAGCATGGACTTGGTGGTGGAGGAAGCCGTAACCGACCAGCGGTTACGTGAACCACCCAACGACGGCGGGGAGTCCAGCAATCCTCTCGCACATAATCATCCCTGCATGGGATTCGAACCTGCGAACCCATCCGATTCAATTGATTCAATTGCGGGCGCTGCAGACCAATGCAGTTTAGGGACCAATGTAATAATTCATCCATCATTTAACTACTCGTTTCTACCCTATATTGCACGAACTATGACCGAAACATTCCAATTGTTTGACTTCTGGAATATCAATTCGAACAACATTTATTTTAAAGTTAGTTCAATCTAAATTACAGTATTTTCACAACCCTACATGTCGTCTCTCCAAATATACAGCATAATAAAATTACCAACAACAAAGAGATAGCAACCGCGCCATGTGTTGGTAAAATACCATAAAGTTGACATATAGCAAATACGCTTGGGCAATATATCTTAATTAAAGGAATCCGTCTATATGTATCCAGCTTTATTTACAGAAAGGGTAATTCTCATTGAAGTTTAGAATTTAAATGCCTATAATTAATAAGGTAATAGAAAAATATGATAATTTATTGCACAGCATTTGTATTGCTCTGCAAATTGTCGCCGTTTAGCAGAAAATTTGTTTTAAAATTACGTCTGGTATGCCGTGTTGTATATATTCTAGAACAGGAGTCTCCAACTCAAAACATGTCGCGGGCCACTTTTTGAAATTTATTGGCCACGCGGGCCGCAAACCAAAAAATTAAGTACAAAAATGAGTCTCTGAATGTATTGTGTTGAAATTACACTTGAATCTTACAGCAAACGAGACATGAAATATATTCATTTACTTGTGCTGGATATTTGGTTTCGATGTTTGGCCTTATTTTGCATTGGTTTGCTAGTCCTAAGACAGCATGCAAATGCTCGTCCGTTAGTCGTGTGCGGAGGGCTAACTTTCATAGTTAAAAAAAATGCTCGCAAATATAAGAACTGCCTAACATTGCAGGTATGCAAAGTGAATGTGCAATTAGCTTCGCAAACCTTTCCTCGGGCATGATGAACTGACCGAAACTCGTTTATTTCGTCACAATGAACATACGAAATGAAATTATTGTATTCATTATTAAATTGTAATATTGGAATAAAACATGAACGTAGTAAAGTGGAATAACAGTGGGGAATTTTTGCTTCACTTTTTACAGTTTGTCGGACCGGACTCTTGATGATAAATAATGACACGATAAAACTTACTAAAAGTTGATATCGTACTATTTTAGTTTTTTATGGAAAAATCTCAATCCTGACGCGGGCCGAAAAAAAAATGCCTGGCGGGCCGCGTGCTGGAAACCCCTGTTCTAGAATGTAATATCAGATACTATTTTTGAAAGAAAATATTCAAAAATGTAGTAAGTACTGGACAATTTTCGAAATATACAGGTTCATAGATAAGCACGATAAAATAAAATGAAACGTGTTACGAGAACGATAGATATATTATGTATAAACATCCCAAACAAGGTATCGTGACATTTTGGGGCGCGATTCAGATCAAAGTTCGCTACGTTAGGGAAAGCGCCACCATTTGATTAATGCACTTAGTTGACTTTAACATACTACTATATCAATCCTTAAAACTCATATAAAAATGAAGAATGAGAATCCGAATGACCAGAACACAGTAAAATTTCGCACACTTTCGCAATATAAAATTTATAGAAGTCACTATTTGCTGATCTATTTGTTTTCGCCAAATATTTATTTAGAAAATAACGGCTAATAATTTAAATGTGACAAAGCATATTGTTATGACATTTATATAAGGGTTCAAAAAGTCAGAAGGTGAAATTAAAGAAAACCACTTGCTTGTTTTAAAGATGCTGCTGAAGCCATTTTGTATATTTTATATTCATGTGGGTAAGCGACCTGCTGCAAGCCCTTTTTTATTACTAATCGGGGTTTAAACGGTGAGTCAGTTTATTGGTTTCAAATGGAATAACTGTGATTTTAGTATAGCAAACTGTACTCTTACATTTGGTTGACATCCGTCTTGTTGTATTGAAGACATTTATTCAGATATTTCTAATGGTTTTTACATATTTTCTACTGTGTCACATCTCCATTCTAAAACGGCTATTCCCGTATTGTCTAAACCAGGTTAGGGTTAAGCCATAGTTCCACTACGAGTTTGGGGACTGTCTGTGTGATTCAAGTGAATATACCTCGAAGTTAGTTACCTACATATTGGTACAAACACTTCTGGAGCGTCCTAATACGATTTCATAGCCGATTCAGATGGTCATATAAACCAAAATGTCATGGGAACAAATGTATTCACCATCGGACAGCTGGAGGAAAGTGATTCAATGTTGTACTATTATACTAGATTCAGACACTGAGACCAGGTTCTTCAGTGTGTGGAAGCTGTTCATATGTTCAGTTGTTAACCCGTGGGTATTTGGATGCAGAGCATTATAACAGCTCATTTAGAAATTTATTCTGTCGCGTTCTAATACATGGAATGATTACATGGAATGGAATGATTGTATTTATTTCATAACCGTTCGAATGAAAATTGAACAAACCCCTTTGGCCTATAGATATATATATTAAAATTGCATGTCAGTTCAAGTAACCTGGGGAAACGAAAATATCAAATTTTATTTGGAACAGGCAACAAAAGACGATTCCCATGACAGATGGAATGTGGTTTCATCACTGAATTCTGACGTACTTATTGTGATGTCACGCAAAATTGAATAACTCAACAGAAATTTTTCTACTCAAACTCTGCTTCCGTTAGCTTTATAAACATCTGTTACATGTAATATAAAATTGTCTGAAATTAATAAAACAATTTTTTTGTTCTTTTCATGAACCAAGCCTGTACCGCATACGACCCGTGAAAGCTTTTCATGTGGCCCTCGAAGTGTTTTGAATATATTATGTTACAGCAGAATGTATGGGTACATGCAATTAATGCGTGAAGAATAATTTAATCAGATAATATTTTTAATAAAATTACTAACTTCTGAATTTGAATTATAATGTTAACAATCAATCCGTAACTGCAATCCTAGATAGATGTATTAAAATGCCCAAAGATGCTTCATGATTAAAATTGTTAATAGAACAACATTTCAGGTATTTGAATTATAAAACGTCTCGTGAGTTTTAAGGGACACATTTATGGATGTGTAGATAGTAACGTTTGATCCCAGCTATTTCAAATAACCCAGATAAGACAAGTAAATATTTATTTGTATCCATAAACTCAAATATATTCTGTTTTGTTTGCCGAAAAATTGTATCAGTTGAAGTCAATGAGTTAGAATGAAAAATAGAACTGATTTTTCCTATGGCAAATGGCAAAGCTAGAAGCTTTCAAAAATCAAGTTTCAACATGAATATGAGAACACTTTTTAATCAGTTCGGACTTCGAAGCGTATTTTTCAAGTAAGACATACTGAAGCGGGATTCTAATACACTCAATAAATCGAGCTGCTTATCAAAAACTTTCACATTGAACTAATTGCAGGTGAAATGACAGAAATCCCATTCTTGCTAGACCCAGAAGGAGTTACTTCACATTAAAAAAATAATAATTTCAAAGATCGTTCTCGCCAAAGAAGGAAACTGTTTAAACCATCTTTATAATCTCAACGATACGTCATATTACATTTCATGGTGAAATGATGGCTTGTGTCTCATAAACAAAAGATTTTGTTAATTTCGACCCTTCGTTGTTTTGAGTGGTGCAGTTATGCAGGCTTTAGAATACAAAGAGTGTTTTCTGTACGTTTTCGTAACTGATGTCATAAAGCACAACTATGTCGCATGAGTATGAACTGTTAAATTCTCAAGACGCAAACGTCTTTCAGCATTATTTAGTTTACACAAAAAAGGATATCTCGGTCAGTAGTGCTAGAAATGTCAAGTGCAGTTTTAAGTATTTTGCGGCGTCCGAAGCTGCCGCAAAACCATGGCGGGATATTCAAACCACGGCGGCTGACTTTTTAGCTGCCACAAACCAATGACATGAAGCGGCGTACCACGGCAGCAAATTGAAAACCAATGGCGGGTAAAATTTTGGTGTCACAAATCAAGGCATGTAGGCTGTAATGGCAGGACTGCCCTGATGGTGACAAACTTTGGGTAAGTTGGAACATTTTCCTTATGGATACAGTTTTGATGGATTTGGGGTTAGGTTTCAGGTTTAAGTAGATATATTTCCGCACGATAAAGTAAAATTTGGCACATGACTTTGTGAATATACCGGTGCTACCCCCATAAAACCTTGGCAAGAGACGCCGCGGTTCGTTTGTGGCAGGAGCCGCCATGAAGTGGTAAGAACTGGGCCTAAGAAGTGTATAGACTGCTTTGTGTTTTGCAGCAGAAAAGTAAATCAAGATGATTAAGCTGACTTGACTAAAACTTATTGCTCTGTGTCTGGTTTTGTCTTGCAAAACATTATTCTTTATTTTGAAAATGGTGGTCGATTGATGTATATATAATAACAGTTCAAACTGCCAAGAAACAAATATTTGCTTTTCATATTGATATATAGAATTTAAACAATATTTTCACATTTTAAATTAAAACTTCTTAATTTTAGAGAAGTTTAACTATGATAGTTATTTGATCCTCCTATTAAACAAATACATTGTTTACTTCTGCAATTGATTTATTTATTTGTCCAGGATAGCTGATTGCTGATTGCAGCAAATGGTCATTACAAATATAAAAATGTTTTTTCATTGACCTGGTAGTGTCTTTTCGAATGCCACTTGAGTTTTTTCGTATATATTTTTGCGTAAAAAATAATGGATAATTTACTATATTTGGTATTCTACTTTTATCATTTCAAATCAATAATACAAAAAACAGCAAAGAATGCAAATTCGTACTGTAACAAAGGTGTGGACCAATTTTTTGTTTTTCATACAAAATAAAGGCAAAATATACAAACCTGATCAAGAAAGCGTTGTTCGTTCCTCTGTGATCAATATCGTGACAAAAACTTCCAACTATTAAGGCAAATTTTTCAACGTCCGTGTAGATATTATTGATGTTGGTACACTAAAATTGAAAATAGATATGTAAAAAATCGGAATGTAAAACTACAATTCCTGGTTGATTATTTGATGTACTTCTTCAATAGCATCAAGACAAAGACAATACTTGAGAGTGACTTTAGTAATTTAAGATATAGTCTATCATAATTGTTATTTCTATGCTTTCCATGCATTGAATACTGCCTTATTTTGGTTTATCCATACAATAATTCTAATATATAGTTGCTGTATCGGTATCAGGTGCTCTATATGCTCAATATTGCCATCTAACGGATGGGAGGACCAGTAAAAATGGCAAGTCATATGAAAGCCAGACCAGAAATATTGTATCTTAATCTAAATGTTAAGAAATGCTGCCGCAAAAAGTTTCAATTTTTTAACATACCTCGCTGTCTTTAATCATCCTATCTTGGAGTAAAAACATAGTGTGAGCAACATTAAATCCGTGTCTCCAATTATGATAGTATACCGGTCTGTAACATCTTTTTACGCTGAGGATCCACCGAAGCATAGTCTACAAAATGAAATGAATAACACAGATGTAAGTAAGTGAACATTGCAAATGTGCTTATTCATGAAAACTGAAGTTTTAAGGCAAAAAATTTAAGATAATTCAAAATAATGGCAATTTGTCCTAGTCTTAGAGACTGAAAATAATAACTCCATAAACCCCCTTATGAAAATCCAAATAATACTTATCTATGCATTTGGTTGAAGTGAAATACTGAAAAATAGCGTAGTGCAGATTATAGATTACAAATGCAGTCAAATCTTCTCATCTCCAACAATATCCGGAATAGCACAAGAGTTTTTTCAAAGAAGTGTATCCCATTTTGGGACCCGTCATCGTCAGTTTCATTATTTTTATATAATACTACCAATCAGACAATGTAACTCAGCCACTTATTTAACTCTACAATTTTGGTTCACTCTAGTGTTTACACCAGCGGGGCTAATCCATGGTTCAACGAAGCAATAGGTTTCCTCAAGTACAGTCCATAATTTCACATTCCACAAGTTTACATTCAAATCCGCAAGGGTACATATTACATGTATATTTTTAAATATAATCAATACCTTGCCAGTATTATCAAACTTCCTAAGGATAATTTTGTTTTGCCAGTATTGAATTTGAATTTTATATACAGGTGTCCACAAAGTCCCTTCACAGTTTCAATTTTGTTATGAAGTCGGTTCTCAAAATATCTTAACCAGGTTTGTTGTTTTTTATTCAGTAATTGTTCAAGTCATTTTACTTCATTGAATACATCTGCGAGGGCCAAAACAATATATGGTATCGATAAATTCCCTATGCAATTTTAAAAATTTCTAAGACTTTATCGACACCCAATATAATTTATTTATACAATACTTCAGTCTTACATGTAATGTACATGAGCTCGAGCCGCAGGGATGTTTAATTCGGGGTTTCGCTCCGCTAAAGAGTTCGAAAATTACTGGTTTACACTATATATATACTAAATGCACAATACATCTTAGCTTACCGTTTGAGGAATTTTGAACATATTAAAAGCATCGATATCTGTGAACATTCTCATTGCTGCCAGCACTGTTTCGTCATCAATCATTGGTAAATCAGAGAAAGTGAATTCATACAAATTGTAATCTTCACCAGGAGGTATCTCTTTGACCTGACAACGAAGATAAGCGCTTTACATCATGAAGGGACGCACTTCAGATAATTCCAATGTCGTTTGTGTTTTGGGATTTGTTTCGCTGAGGATTTTAATGAACAATGTGTAATGCAGCATATTTCGAGTAACAACTTCACAGTCTACAAGCCAAAAATAAATTCGAAGGTATCTCAGTGATTCCGACGTTTAATCGTGCTTAACACACTATACATTACAATAGTTATCTTTCTAGCATCAAAATATGATATATTACCTTATGTGTCAGACTGCGATGTTCTCAAATGGCTCAATTAATTTTTTCATATTCAAATACAAAAAAAATTGTCCCATATTTATCTTAGCGTTTTAAATGTGTGTTCGTACACTTCAGGTATTTTCGGTACAAACAGTTGTACCATTGTGATTTACCAATTTTCACGTTTAAATGAATCATGTCACGTGTTTGTCAAATTCCACATCAAAATATTCATTTACATAAATCGATACCTTCAATTTATCGACGTCGTTTTCATCTGCTCTAATGTTAAACCTGACTATTTCTTCAGATACTTCTTCTTTTGCTTTATTCAAACGAATTGAATTAAATCCGTTCGCGTACAAGAGACCGTTCACAATGTAAGGTCGTATGGTCTAAAATAAAAATACATTCTTTATTTAAGATAATTCACAGATTTGCTTTGTTTGAACCAAACATTTATTGCAAAAATCGATATTCGTTAAGTATTAAGTAACAAATTTTAATTCAACAATAATTTAATTTATTAATTTAAACATACTTTCAAAAACACCTTAGGTTTGGCTTGAGGTCAGGAGCTTAAGATCTGTTATCAGTGGTTTAAAATGGCACAAATATTTATGGTACTCTTAAACATACACATGTTAGGAATACTGCCTAATAGTTTTTGGTATCACAATAGTTCTTTCGCATCCCTGACTTGCAAAAGAACTCTTCCTCATTTTTAATAGGGCGCATTCGATATTGCCTAAACTGAAAAAAAAATTAGAAAAAGTATACAAGATCTCAATAACAATCATAGCTGGGTGTGAAACACCTCCTAACAAAATCCAATTGACCTAGTAAATGTATTTTGAGTTGGGGACGAAGTCGAAAAGCAATTTTCATGGGTTGTCGATGGAAGAAAATCTAAAAACATATTATTATCATTATGGTCATTGATGGTTTTTATTTTAAAACTAGTCTTCTTACTTCTAGAGTTTCTTCATCGCCTTCTGTAAATCCTCCTTTCTTGTTAGCAAGATGTAAAACACCGAGTAATTTTCCACCACTATCGTAATACGAAGTACAAAGTACTGTCTTCAAGCTGAATTCTTTCTTTGCATCCTAAAGCAACATAAACGGTGGATGGGAACTATTTTAACTCATCTTCAGTTCATCTTTAATTGAGACGAACAAATCGTAAAGCCAAATCGAATTTACCTCCAACTAAGGGTTGAAAATCTGAAGGAACACTGAATGTCGAATGAGGGAGGGGGTATGCGATACATGGACAATGTGTATAAAAGCAGAAGAATATTCTAGGATATTCGGTAAAGCATGAGAGATCTCCACGAAAAGGTTAATCTTTATCATAATTTTGTGTGTTATACATTCTGTTATACAGAGAGTTTAAAACAAATTTCGACAAAACATACCTCAAGCTTGAATTCTGAAAACGGACTGATTTTTGACATGTTGACCATCTGAAAATATAACGCATGATTAGCACATACTAAATTTCAAAGACGGTTACTTGACATCAAGAAAACGATGTGTATGGCGGTGGAAATCTTATTATTTCATCAGCGTGGCAAACTTAGAATCATGTTTTTGTGTGTCTTTGTCTGTAGAAAATTTATTGACAAATTGGAAGAGTAAAATTAGTATTCTCCTTTCAGGAATATTCACTTATTTTGGGTTTTCTATAATTCTCCAAATCTATAATCAGTTTCTAATACAGTTTTGTCGTTATTATGTTGATCCTTGCATCAATATTAATATTTGGGTTCAGCCAACCAATTGTTTAACCAGGATTCGATTCCGAAATATCCAATATACAATGTCTTTCTTCAAAATGGCGTGATCGTATGGCTCAATAGGTCACCACATCACCCATCACACCGACAGCGTAATTTTAATAATAAAAAATTGCATTTACCTACCATATTTTTATATTTTATTGCAGTGGCTAAAAAATCGATAATTTTTTTTGAGCTTCACAAATCTGGATTCACTCATTTTCATTTTTATATTTGGTCTCACATGACAATTTTGAGACAATTCTGGGAAACATGAATTAAAAATGTAGATCTTAATTCGAAACATATTTGAAACTAGTTTTACAGGTTTTCCTAAATATCTTTGTCACCTTTTTTTCTTCCAAAACTTTTTCGATGACTTTGTGACCAAATATCCAGTCGTTCTTTTTCAGTCTGAAAAAGAAGTTAAAACTTCAAAACAGACTTCAGGAGTCCGATCATTTATCTCGAAGACTGAGCAAATTTGCTGTCACATCAAAATATGTTAAATACTGGACAGGCCACTAGCTCAAATCAATGCATACGTTGGTCTGTTTCCTATAATCAAATTGTCAGGACGAATGGCAAGTAAAACAAACTTTTTGTAAATTGTCCACCGCAAATTTAGTGTGTTTTCTCACCTCCAGAAGCAATCAAGGTCAATAAGTTTATGCAGCCTAATCGTTCCTATCAATTATAATGTACAGGCTGACCAAAAATAGAGCATAGGATATTCGCAGTAGTGGGATTCAGCCGATTCGCACCGGTTCTATAGAACCGTCTCACGGAATTTTATGAGATCAGCGAACCGGTTAGCAGTACATGACTTTTTGTAACAGAACCGCCTGAAAATATGACATTTATATGATGAAACCGGCTGACAAAAAAACTTTTGTGCAAAGCGTTCTAAATCTAGATTACGGAAACTTTTGGATACAATCATATACGTAAATGGAAATTTAAGTGTTCAAGTGTTAAATTTCTTTTATTTTCGTGGAAGCAATTTTGAAATTTATGGATCGTGTTTTTCGACGGTTACCCTGTACCAAAGATTCATTTGTAGACTTGCAGTAGTGCAATAATTACACTAAAATAAGTTCTCATCAATTATGGATAGTCTTTTAAATCTCGAATCGTAAGAAAACGCTTTCCGCTAGAAAAATAAACATGATCACCATACTTTATAACGTCAATTTGTGTCTCCCCATCGTCTTCGCCAAAAAGGTTGCTCCCTTTCTTGACCAGCATGTCATAAGATTTAGCAAGTGGAAGACATCCTTCAATATTGCAGTTGTCGACTAACGCAATAGCTAGTGTGTATCTTTCGCATTTGATTGCTTCAGAAATTTTTGTCAAGACTTCTTTCAATACCGCATCGAGGCTCCTACCTTGCCAATTACTAGCCACTGAAGCCGCCAAGTCATCCTGAAGCTGTAAAAATTGAAAATTACATGTGATCAACTGTATAAAACTGCGTGTAGGAAAGTCAATAAATGTAGATAAAAATGCTTAATTAGAATGAATAGATTTTTGGTTTATGCGGTTATGTTAATTTATAGGATGTAGAATTTTGACATCAACACTGCATTGCCGTCGGTAATAATAATTAGTGTGCAGAGCTATTTACGACGCCTTTTTTTCATGCGTGCAAAGGTATCGAGGTTAAAACAGCAAACCCAAGCTCAGGTCACAAATTTATATCTCAGATCTACCAGCAGAGTTCTAATAATCAAACAAATTAAATATTTTTAGGGCATTGAACATTCACGACAAAAATATTTGGTATTTTGTGAATGAAACGTTTGTACAATCATTTTAAAGCCAAGCCCAACTCGGAACTGAGCAGATTCATAACACTGTTGAGATGAAATATAAACTGTTGCGACTTCCACTCTCTTAGTTGCAATATGAGTCAACCCTGTTTCATTGAAAAGACAGTATTTACATGCGCAGTTAGTTATCAACACCGTGAAAACATTCTCCCTTGAAATCGTATTGTTTTGACTGCACTACATCCAAATTCAGTCTTCCACCTCATAGAAATCAAAATATGTACGTGTACCCTCGTAATTTTGTTTTGACTACGAGATCCCGTGTGGGAATAGCATGACTCAACGATTAAGACGGTGTTCTATTATTAGATGTTTTTCTCAATGGTTACATTAACTATTTTCTGAACGAAAAATCGGTAGAGATTCGTCGCATAATAAGCACCAACACAAAATCCCTTTGACTACTGTTTTGGTCAAAGAGCTGCATCTTGATGATTGTTCGGTACCCAGCAAGCGGAACTTTTCGATTATATTGTGACTTAAAATACATATAGAGAATTATAGAATGAAATTCGGTACAGAAGTTGTTTTATTGCAGAATAGTCCAGTGAAATTATGAAAAATCTCTACAAATGTTGTAATCGGTGGATTCGTCAAATGTTCATTGGACGTGTGATAATTTTAAAAACTCCGACGGAAAGAAGTGATATGAACCTCCCTCTGAAATTTTCACAGTGTTCAAATTTCAACTATGCTAAGTTTATCGTAAATCTCCAATCAGTACATATGAGCAGCAGTCAACTTTATTTCATCCAACAATAGTGTTCTGTTTAAAAAATAGCTAGATTACAGTCGCACAGTCGCGTGGGGAGTTCACGAAATGTGAAAACACACGTGTACATGTTCTTTCTATAAATAAAACGTATTTTTCGCTCGCACTGTTTTGATTTCTGGTCGATACTATTGTTTTTCCCCATTCATAAAATATGCAAAAGAGGAGAGGACAAAGTACAAACACAAAACGTTGAACAAAATAGAAATTACTTTTAAAAACAAACGCTTTAAAATTAAACATATTTTCAAGATTACGCTTATTTCGTATCACATAATTCTCACAGTCTTGGGCTTCGTGTGGAGTTAGCAAATGTATGAACTCATAGACTTGTTTTGACCACAATGTGTAACACACAGCATGATTTTGGTAGTAAAATGGCGCTTTGGATTAAGAAATTAATTTGCACTCACAAAATCGGAATCAAAACAGCGTCTTTACATCCAAATTAATTGATAATGGGTCGATCTATATAGAAGGATTTCAGCCCGTAGTAGTAAGATAATACACATATAATATTATTTTAAAAAAAATTAAAATACGTAACTTGAAATTTGAGCAAGTGTTGATATCGCGGATTTTAAGAGTTTCGAACACATGATTTCCAATGCAAACCCAACGATCGTAATAATATATAATAGGCTTACTTTTCCCGCTTGCTCCAGTCTAGTAATCTGTGCTGATCTTCTTGTATGTTGAATAGCAAGAGCACATAATACAATGAAATGTTGTGCTACCTAGGTAACAATAATAAATATATAATTAGTAAACTAAAAGGCAACAAAAATATAGGGTGCAGCAAGACTCTTGAAACACTTAGGATAGTTATCTTCACTCTTGCTACAGCATCCTTGCATTATATGCGTACGGATCCATCGACACGAAAGCATAGAAGAATGATAAGTAGTTAGTCTCGTGGAAACCAAATCATTAGCGAAAAATATAGGAGCACTTATATAAACAGTACATGTTCTCCATTGGCTTTTAAAAACAAAACGCTCCAAACTATTGCGATGAGTACGTACGTAACATAAGGCAATGGCATATCTTCGTTCATAGATTTCTATATAACCCTGCTGTGAAGTACAATCGTAGCAGATTTCAAAATCTTTACCTCTTCGTCTTCTTCTGTGAACGGTTCTTCGTTTTTCTTGTTAACGACTTCCACCACACCCACTAACTTGTCGTCGTCAGGTAATATTAGAGGTAGACACATGATGTCACGAGAAACAAACCCTGTTTTTTCGTCAAACATTTTTGTAAAATTCGGATGCTGAAAAGAGTAAAAGCTTCGAATAAGGAAAATCAATCATATATCAGACATATGGAGATTGGCATTATTAAATATTATTGGGCCTTTCTATGAATTCTACAATATGCATTCAAATATACATATTATTATGGACGTTTCGCGGTTGTTTTTGATAAAATTACCGTTAGCATTTTGAATTTAACATCAATCAATCAAAGGAAAATCTTATACGAAAATGCAAAAAATACTGGTCTGAGATATTTTATGACGCAGAACGGTGATAGAAACGTTGTTTAGCAAACGTAATGTTACTATGACAACGATAATCATTAAAATGAATTGTGTTTATCATAGTTCTATATACGGGATAAATTTATAGAAATTGTGAATAACCGATGGCAGATTGGCCAGACATACACCAGCTGCTCAACATAATTTTCTTTGGAACAAAACAACAACATGTCGATTTGCAATTTGCATACTCCATCAGTAAATTGTATAAATTTTTGTCATAAATTTCCTGTGCCTATTTTGAATTTATTGCGCTATTTAAATATTCATTTCTTCAAGCTCTCACTTTTAAATAGAAGCTGGATTATGAGTTTTCACAAAATTAGCTTCCACCGATTTTACCTAGTACAAGCATGTAAGCTTTAAATTATCAGACCCACATAATATTCTACTTGTACAACATCAAAAACGAATAATTTTTCTCTAGGAACTCTTAGTCAACTTGGTCGACTATTTTTGAGATTCTGTAGCATTTTTTGTCTTCGATTATCACCATTTGAAGACTGAGATTCCGACTCTCAACTCCAGGAGTTTATAAACAGGACTCCGGATCCGACTTAAATGTCGACATGCCAAATCCCGACTCCGCATTCTTGCTTTAAGCGAATAGTTGAATTAACTAATGAATGCATTACTTTAGTGCATCGTTTTTTCTTGCTTGGCACTGTCAATAGTAGTTACCTCATATACGTTGGAAACATTGAGTTTTTCTCTTGTCTGAGCTACATGCCCTGCTATTCCTACGTCGAATGCAACAACAAATTCATTCTTGGCATCGCACATTGCTGCCTCGAATGATGATTTTTGTGTCACGTTCCATAATCTTGATGCCAGTTCTTTTCCGTCTCCCTGGAAGTATAAAACACAATGATAGTTTCGTGATTATGGTCACAATGATGGTTCCAAACACCATTTGAACGCCCTCCTCGAAAGAAGAAATATGTGGCTGTCATTTGAACAGCAGATTCAATTTCAGTTTAAAGTGGCAAAGAATCATTTCAAACCTAGATTCTTGGCATAACAACATTGCTGACATGCCTAGGCGAATATTAATTAATATACAGGGTGAGCCCAAAACAGCATCAATAAAATAACTCCGACGAAAATGAATAAAATATGTTCAACGTTTGCACTCTTGTTTGTTTATGATTGTACCCGAAAGTTCCTGTAATATAGGAAGCTTTGCACAAAAGTTATGTTCGTTATAGGATATGTTTCAAATGACATGGGTTCTCTTTTTTCGTCACCCTGTACATCTGTTGTACTTGTACTTATTAAGTGCCACGTGTTTCATCAGCTTTACAATGCCCGAATACGCTTGGAAAGTTTGTATCAGCAGGTCTTTTAGTTAGAAACGAAATTTTATTAGATTATGGGAATAGACAAAAACAACAATAACCAGTGGTTGATGGCTCAAATACATGATCAGTCAACCAGACTAATATTAGCTGAAAGCATTCGAATAAAACTGCATTGTTGTTATTACTATCTTTTGAGTGCGATGTTCGCAATTAAGTCTGGATAAGTTTGAAAAAAACAAATTGCTTTCAATTATTCAAATTTGATGAGTTTTTTTTTCAAATACCGGAACAAATAATAAATTTTGCAAAGCTTTAAGTATTTTCTCTGCAGTTGCTTATTAATATTAGCATAATGCATTTGCAAACTCTAAAGTACGTCATTAACTTGTTGGCAAAATATTCCACTAATAATGATTAATTGATGTCTTTATTTGACTGATCAATTAACTGAACACATAGCTACAGTTTTTCAATATCAAATGTATCAAGTAAGAACCGATGATGGGGAGTTGTGCTTCAAAGGCAAGCTACGTAGGACGTTTCTGCACAGCGCTAATTATGATTCAACGTTAGTAACTGTACTTCACATAGTGGAATTATTTCGGTCACATTCGCAGTCTGTCATCGTGATGCAGTCGAACCACATTCTCAAATAAACTTTGTGAGACCCAGTTATTTTAAAGTAGAAGAGTTCTATATTATGGATTCCAAGCAAAATGTTCATCAAAATCATGATAAAATACGAATTCCGTGTAAGCAGTTCGAATCCATACTAATTCAGAACCGACTGCAGTATTATCTGCTTGTTCAGTTGCTTGTATATACATTGAATAAATAAGCAACAACTGACTTGCAGTTGCATACTGTATAGTTAGGGATATATGGTTCTTTTGCAAAGTTGTTTTTTACCGAATTTCACAGCCCTCAGGATCATTATCAAATATGTGTAATCTTATTAGGCGACGGGTAAGCGGATTTGCGAAGTCGTATTTCTAATTATCTTGGACTTTGGAAAAAGCTGATGAATGTCTAATCATGCTTAACTTAAATCAGTCTGACATACAATATCTTCAATTTTGTTAATATATATAGTGATATTATTATATATTAAACGTATTTTCATCGATCGGCTTTTATGATACCGTAATGATTATCAAAGCTCGGTACAAATCCAGGTGGACAATATAAGAACAGTGATTTTGGATCCCAATTGACGTCATCTAATCTTCTAAGCCTGGAATTAGGGCTTTTGGATGCACCGAGGCGGAGACAAGATATTCTTTAGCCGCGGGATTTCAAACCAGCTTGCCAAAACAATATCGATTTTGAGCACCGCCCTCGCTACTGTAAAAAATCGTTAACACTTATATGATTTCATATGTAAAACACATGACATTTGTGATGCATTTTGATACGAGGAACATACATTAGATATGATTTTCGATGACCTAAACTTCAGACAATGTCGCAACTCATAAATCTGATAGTAACGTCATTTTTTCCGAGTTAGACAATGTTTATTTACATCTTAAAATCGTCTATTGCTTTTCCTTCGACATTGTATTCAGAACAATTGACAAAACATCAATTTCCTAACTTAACACAGCATGTTGTTTGTGCTGGAAATTCTATCACAGGGTGAGACTCAAAATGTCTGCGCTTGCAAACAAAATAAGGATGTTACGAGTGCTGATGTTAGTTTTGAATGCCGCACTGGAGTATATCGTGGAATTTGAAGTAAATTGAAGCAGTTTGAAAAACAAACATTCGAATTGATGTCAAATTAGTAAAACCACTGCTTTTGTCAAAATTTTATCCAATAGCAAAAACTACAGCCAGTGGTGGGATTCAGCCGGTTCGCACCGGTTCTATAGAACCGTCTGACGGAGTTTTATGAGATCAGCGAACGGGTTAGCAGTACTGGTTACTGTCAATGTTCTGTTTGTAACAGAACCGGCCTAAAAATACGAATTTTGTGATGGAACCGGCTGACAAAAAATTTGACTCCCACCACTGACTACAGTCATGATATTTTTTCTTCAATATTCCCCATTATAAGGATTTCCCAATCGTTTCCATTCTATACTTCGAAATCAGATAATCACGGATTATCATAAGACACTACATCAATTTCATGCGATCTCATTCAAGATAAAACATTTGTAAATTCGATTTTTCAATGATTCGTTATCGAGCACTACTACATCGATAAACGTGAATGATGAAAATCTTGGGCTTAAAAAAGAATTGATCGATTGTATGCAATCCATCGGTTTTCTTATTGATTATCATGATATCATTGACTGTCCCTAAAGTCATGGGATTAAAGGTATTAAATTTACTAAATTTATCTGAGTTATCCATTTCTAATAGAATGAGACCATTTGATACAGATTTTACACTTGAATACATTCGTAATGCAATCCATATTCAATATACTCAAAGGGTTCATTTTTTTTTTTTTTCAGAAAAACACCTTGCCCAGCCACAATACAACATATAGACACATAATTCGACTTTTTTAAACCTTTAGATATTGTTTCCAGGTTTCTATCAGCACGGCCACTTCGGCTAACATGTATTTCGGACATTTTTAATCTTGATTTCGTTTTCACATAGAATTAGGAATCCCAAATATCTCGAAAAACTCTAGGCATGACGCTTGCTAGTGCAACGCAAAAGTTGAAAACTGAACAAAATTGAAAATTCAATCTCTCATCAGTCAGGGAATCGGTTTTCTTTGCTATAGAAATATATAGAATACACAGATTGCATCTTGGCGGCTAGTTTAAAGTAGACTTTGAACATACCGTAGGAGTGTCTCTTGCCAGAAACAAGCTGCATCTATCAGCATCAAGTAACGTAGATACATGAGTTAAAGCTTCGAAGCAAAATTTATCACAATCCTTCACTGATCCAACTTGTTTTGCCAAGTTCAGGATTATCTCTGGTTCACTGCAAATTAAAAAAAATGATTAGCAACAATATAGAAATATTTTTCGTTACAAAAATGATCGTAAAGGGGCAAGACCGTTGCTGAGTTTATTTCTTACTCACCCTTCTGCACGCAAAATAGTAGAGAGTTTCGCGTTTTTGAATTGATTCCAGCAAGTTACAAATAATTCCTGAATTACATCTGCCCTATACTGACCCCCGATTAAAAATTCATTGACTGTCGACACATTTATTAACTCTCAGAAAAACTTGGTGCAAGCATGAATAGCAAATCAAACTCGAGTTTGTTATGGTCCGATCTCGACAAAGTACTTTTCCATACAAAAGACAAAGAAATTAAAAATAACCACCTTCGTGAAAATTGTTACTCAATCCCCGTGTCGAATCACAAAAGCTAAATTCGATATCACGTGATGTCAAAATTGGAACAAAACAAGAAAAGTTAATAGGAGAAGAAGATTAGAAATTTGGAATAAAATATTTTGTTCTTAACAGCCCGAAATTTACTTGAAAATAAAAGAATGGTATGGAATTTAAAAAAATATATGCACACTGATTTTTTTTATGGGTACATATCCAACATATTCTGCTTCACAGCATAAATAGGTTACAGTCAATGCTTTTCGAATAAAATGTAAAATACATTCTTTTATACGTGATTTCTGAACTTAAATTAAACATTTTGTGATCTTAAAACTTCCAATATTTATTCGCGGTGGACAACCATATAGTTTTATATGCGTGCGTCATAAAGACATCACAGGACCATAAATTATCAAAGCGGGTGTTTGAATAAACGAAAGAACTGTGGTTTTCTAAAACCAAGAACGTATTTCGAGTTATATGAGTCGGAATATAAAATTTACGATTCCGTGAGAAAATGGTCGTTAAGCTAAAAGGTAGCCTTGGTTACTGGACATCACTGCGTGTGACGCACACCATTGGGCAAAGTACAACTCAAAATCTTCACTTTTAATGTGTATACTTTGTAGTACAAAAGAAAAAAAAAAGTGATCAAGTGATCAAGTAAAAGATATATATGTATATTGTGAAGTTATTTCTAGAACATAAATATGGCTAATTCAGTTTGAATAATCCATTCCTGATGGTGGCCGATATTTGAACAAGCAACTAGTTTTAATTAGATGCGCATGCTGTTGTTTTCGACTTTTGTTATTTTTCAGTAAAGTATTTACTTCTGCTACATAAGGCGATATAGAAGATAAATAACAGTAGATATGGGAAAGGTCGCCTAAACTCGAGAAAAAACAGCTTGGATTGTCAATATTAGGAACCATTTCGTGGTCAATTAACATCGACAATGGAGTTGCCCAATGCAATATACATTAAGATGATCTGCTTTACGCATTAAAATAAAAATATGATTATTGTACTTGGAAAGTAATGGACATGGAATGGAGCGGTAGTCTCGAGTTTATAAACAAGAAATTACAAATAAACGCCACCCACACTTTCACCCCGCATAATCTGCATCCTTACGTTTACAGTCACACAAAATGAAATTCTCAAAATAGCCCTTTCACCAGACACTAAATCCGAAAATAAGCGACCAGGCAATGGAAGGGAACAAATAACAGGGTGCGATCAGAACGAAATAACACGTCTTAAATGATGTTATGCAGACTTAAATGCAATGTGAACTCTTTACCTTGAAACACGAAGCATACTATGATTTTCAAAATGAAAAAAAATGATACGAAAACAGCATTACAGAGTAGTTCAGTAACCATAATAAACGGTAGATTGTCCTATATTAAGACAAAAAATCAAGTCACGCCTTGAAATATTGCACTTTGATAAGCACAAATGCCTATACGCATTAGCATTTGCTTCTCGGGTCCGATAAAATTAATTAAAATTTTCTTAAGACTTAAAATTATCAATTCACTCGTCTTTATTTACTTGGCCAGGCGTTTTCTAATGCAATTCATGCTTCGTACTCTCTTGATCAATTTATAATTTAAATGGTCTTATCAAAAAAATAACAATTTAAGTGATATCATATTTGCTGTGTAGTATAGTTCAAATATTAATATTTCATTTTGTCTAGATATCCTTGACGTAAAATATGACGACAAGACGATTGATAGACTGTGTATATTACAAAATTTTGTAAGAATTTCAATGTTTGGTTGCCAATTCTGAGATGGAAAATAAAATTTACAGGGGATAGGATTTCCTCATTAAAACAAAAAGACTGGGTATATGCATACAATCGAGTGCGTGTGAAAAGCAGCGGAGCTCTGTTTCAACTTTTCTAATTCTTACGTAAAATTAATCATGTCTATTCACCGCCAAATCATTGAAGTTAGTGGAATGTTTTTCAAATACAATGTACCTTCTGGTGTGATGGGCTTTTTTTCGTGTTAAACTCAAAACTGATAATATAATTATACTGAGCAAAGGGCAAATATATTTGACATGCAAACAGTAACCTAACGATACACGGACGTCAATTCGTAACATTTTTTATGCTATCCGTCTCTATCATTCTTCAACAAATGGTGATCATATTGCTGATGTGCAATAAATCGGATTTGAAAATATGATATAAACATTAGCTGAAATATATATAAATTTATGCATATATGGGAAATATCAATGGGCTCCTCTAATTTCTACTCCCCAATTAGTTGGTATATTGTTTTTTATATAATGTTGACTGTTGACCATCAAAAGATTTGAGTTGTGCTCTGAAAATTGCTGTTGTTTCATCTGGAGAACGTGGACGTGACAAACTAGATGTAGCAACTGTCTGTAGTATATTGATTGATTGATACTTATTGTGTGAAGAAATTCAGACGCCGTGAATCCAATCCAATAGAAATATACCACCGATGTTTGCCAATGACAAATTTTTCAAAACAAAATATAACGCGCAATTGCAAAAGTGCATTGTATTCATTGATATTATGTATCTCGATATAAAAGCCATTCTTAATGAGCTTGTTTACATCGTCTATTTTTTCATTTTGAATATATTATGTGGTGCAAATTCAATGAGGTAATATGGTATTAAATAGGTTGGCATTTTATCCTCAATTCCGACCGCAAGACATGTACGCATATAAGGAAAATTTTGCGATTCTTTTTGACAAGCACAAAATTGCCTTCGCATTAAGCTCGCAGTAAAATTAGCGAACTCGGATTCAGCTTGGTTCGGCATTCAATTTGATTCAAAGTAATATTCTGTTGAATTTTGGTATAATATTAAATAATTGTATTGGTAAATGGTTAATGATGATAAAAATAAAATCAATGTCTATTAATCATCAATATTGTGAAGATCCATTTTAAAAATGAGTGACCTGGCGTGTCTGGAAGAATCTGTCTGAATCTGTTCATTACATTGCCCAGTGTGTTGTCACCAATCAATATTTTGAAGTTAATCAACAACTTGTTATGTGGACATACACAGCTGGGCATAAATACCAAATGACATTTCATCATCGTCTGATTAAACTGAGACTTTACTACATCCGTTGCATGATTTCTTCTTATAAAATTAACTTTAGATATTTGTCGAGTAATAATGTACTAAGTTGACGATAAATCACAAAAATATGGTTCTAACAATACACACCAAAAAAACTGTTGATTTGAAGTTACCTAAATAAGGTATTTTTCGAAATTACACTGAGAGATTTCCTTGCTTAGGTCGTTCGAAAACGATAAGAAACTTGATTTTATTCACGGATTTCGTTTTTTAGTCATGTTACTAGCATCTACTCTTGGAACACTATTTGATATCGAAAACATCGTAAAGGAGTATTAATCTAGCAATAACACCCACTTGTTTTTGGTTTCAATATTTTCAAAAGAAACATGTTGTTGTGGAGATAGTGAGAATCAAAGTACCAGACTGAATATACTACTCTTACACTTTACAGAATACTGCAACATGCGAAAACCATGACCAATTTTTTATCATACTTTTGCGATCTTCTGTTTTGAATTTGGAATTCGAGCCAAAACAGCCATTTGAATGGCTTCCGGTTGAAACCTATCAGACTGTTTCAATGTTCTACAGAATGCAAATTGCAGTGAAATAATTTAGTCATTCGCACTTCATCAGCCTGTTTGTGTATCTGCATAAACTCAGTATAGTATTTGTACATGATGAATAATGCAAATTGTACATCGTGCATAAAGAACTGTTAAATTTATTTGATTAAAGTCATTGTTTTTAAAGCATAATTATAGCCATTCGTTAAGGTCTGAAAGTGGCTATAATAATATGTACTGTTTCCATAGCCAGGTGCATACCCACAAAACCCAACTTGCTAACACAATCGTTTGTTTATAAACAAATATTGCATTTATTAAAAGTACTTGGAAATTTTCCAGGTCTATGGCACAGTGTCTGCTACCCTTACATGATTTTCGATAACACGCAGGGTTGGACTGTTCGAATGTTACGTCTAGGTTTGTTAACAAGCATGCGCAACAAACACGCGTCCAAAGTTATTTCCCATGGGACAGTCACGTGACATTCTACGTCAGAAGAATACATTCCCTGCGTCGTCAAATGATCTCAGGATTTCAGCTGCCGCATGCCAACACTTGAATTAATTGATTATCTCCCTCACTTCATCAGTTAAATCTAGCTTTTTTGAACATGAATTTTTCGTGGAATATTTTGAATATTTTTATTCGAACGCGGAAATAAATATTAGTTTTTTCTTTATAGAAAAGTAAGAGATCTTGGAATCGAATGTGTTAATTCGTGATTTACCCATGCCACCACCTCACTCACGGCGTGATAAATTGATTAGAGTGTGTGGTACAGAGAGAGTTTATAGGGGAAACAGCCCCATTGGTAAATGAAGTGCGTTTGCTTTACGGACAAGCATGTTTTGCACCTTCGGTGTAGTCCAACCATAAAGTCAAAATTTTTTTTTTCAAATCTCAAGTGGGTAACAGCTTTACTCTTATTATTAGATAGAGAGGGGAGGTTTTTCCATGAAAACTATAGTCGGTATTAGTTACTTGACGAACTCGTAAAATCCCATCTGGATCGATTCCAACAGGACATGAAATGAAGTGCGTCTGATATATTACACTTGTCTCAACGGAATGTAAGTAGCCGTGTTCTGTTTGCTTTACGGATTTTAAAGGTCTCAAAGCACATAAAGGTGTGCCTTAACATAGGGCTTAGTGTCAACGAAATTGGGTACGCGTTGTAAAACGTCTTTCGTCCTAGTTTTACGAGTCTTTCCATTCTTTCGGTTAGGCTATTTTAGATTTATGACCTGGCATAATATTATTTGGGGTATTTTTAACGATTTCTAACGCCAAGTACACGAGAATGTTATGGAAACCGGAATATTATATAGGTACTACCAAGCAACATACTCTACGCAAATTTTAATCAAATTTTGCAAACGTGAGTTTTCTACGTTTTAGTTTTTAATTTATACCAATAAATACAATTGTTTTATATATTTTCTCGGATCGACTCTCACTGTTTAAACAAAAGAACTATGGATTATATAAACAGACTAATTACCTCGAAATCGATTAATCGATCTCTAGTTTCAAATTATATCTCGTGTAACACTAAACTCTTTTGGCTCGATAATTCAAAGAGGAAATATAACAACTGACCAAAACTTATTGAAACCCAGATCTTTATTTCAACACCCTTAAGAACCTACGAGAGGTAATCAATGGAAAGTTGAGGAGAACGGCAATCCACCATTCAACTTTCGAATAACTATCTCACACAGGGAATTTACTCAACAGAATCTAGCAGGGAGAAATCAAAGAGCCTGTAGTTTGAGAGTACTGAAATGGCCCATTTGAAATTTGCCTTCAGTGGCCCAAATGTCCTGGATATATAAAATTCCTTCGCGTTAGTTATACTATTTCTCATTCCACCTTCAAATTTGATTTTATAAAACAAACCACAGACTTCTTAATGATTCCAATACAACAGTCATCTCATCAGATATTCTAGTCGAAGTAAATTATCATAAAAAAAACTTTTTACCTTGTCATGATGTGACTTTCCGGTTGATCAAAATTCAACTTAAATTCAGTCGTAAACAAACACTGTTGCTATAACAACGTCACTTCTAATTCCTTATATAACGTTGTGTAGTAAATGTCGGTATAATAGTTCTCCGATTATTTGTAAATGTGCAAACGCACTGTTCCTTTTTATTTGGTTCCAGTTGCAAAATCGTATGCTCTCACTTCTTTTAAATGCAGCGACTTTTATTTTTCCATACGATTTCGCTATTCTGTTGGTGATGCGCCAAGGGTTGATTTAGCAGTCTCGTTTTTCGTCGTCGTTCGTCGTCATCAGCGGCCCCTCGTCCATAAATTATGTACGACTTGGAGAGGCATCGAGCAGGGTGACGTTGTTCAGATATCTAGTGTGACGACTGTTCACTGTTCAGATTATACTAGCTGGATGAAAGTCGGCTTGCATAATTAAAAATACACAAACTATAATGTATGCTGCAGTCTGCAAAACATGAAAGTGCCGAGTCATAATGTGATGATTCAATGAAAACTCATTTAAAATTAATACCAGCTGGTTATTAGCTGTATTATTTTCAATTACTCATCGTCAATATAAATGCTTGAAAATACGAGAAGACATAATATTTGCTAAATAGTTGCATGTTATCGCGGCAATGACCTCGTCCTTTGCTGGCCCAGTAGAAAGCGTAATTGCGTAATAAAATGAAACAAAATTTCCTTGAAAAGGTATTAACCTTATCTGAGCTCTTATTGTTGACAAACAACAGACAAAGGGAGAATATATAGTGATTGACGACATGAATATTTAATTTGTTTTATATTATTACCATGCAGTTGCGAACAACTAATCGTATTTCAGCGTCGTGCACGGTAACATGAAAGTTTAGTTAAAACTACCAAGTCAGTAAAAGATTACAAGTTAGTGCCACAATGAAACTGTCAATAGAATTCACCCATGAACCCATTTTATCTATAGATCAAAATTTTGAGGCGTAATGATGAGGAGCTTCGTGTAATGTTTAATTGTTGATAATTATCATCAAACAGCTTTTCTAGATAACGTACGTCCTATCATAGGTGGTATCTCATATCTTGTCAAATATGCGGTCAATTTGTTTCAATCACACACTTCAGCCCTCTATTCAGTCAACATTGAGCTCACTCTAACCCTCACACTTGTCACATATATATGCAAACTCCACTTGAGAAAGTATATCTACAGACCTTCTTTAAAGTTTAAATTTGTCAGAGTAAATTGGCAAACAGCACATAAGAAGATAATACTCTTAGTTGGTCAATTATCGATGGTACTCCCAAACCCAAACGTTTAGTTTAGCCTTAAATTCTCATTGCAATGTATATCTCCTTAATCAGCTGAAAAAAATACAAACATTCCTTGACTCTGGACAAGTCGGGTCGCTGCGGCTTCTTTTCCGAACACGAGCAACATTTCAGTTTACATATGGCCCATTCCTATTTCTGAAGGACGAAACCGGTTGAATGTACTTCATACATCACTTGAACACGTCTGACGTTAACTGCGTGAAACGCCTTGGCTTTGCCTAACACGATCGATTCCGCGTAGAAAAAATCATTAAAACACTGATCCATTGCACAGTAATAAAATAAGTAACATCAACATTAGTTATGTGGAACTGAACTATTCTTCAAAGATTATTAAATAACATACATATTTCTTACGCGATCAAAGACCATCTAGACTTAAAACTTGATTGCGAAATTATTTCACTGAACAAGGAATTGCGCAAACACGTTTGTTTAACTGTGCATTTTGACACTGCGTTTCAGTATGAAATTTGATGCACCAATCTAAGTTATTATGATTGATAATATATGCGTGTTAGTACTCCCTGAAAAATGAGAGGTTTATTCAAAAGCATGCATACTCAGATTAAATCTGAAGCGTATTGGCAGATATGAGTTTGAATAAATCAAATGCATCGCCGGTTGCATATTCCGGCGTTCAAATATATATTGGAAATTTTCCCAGGTTGGCATTTTACTCACAATTGTTTTCCTTTTTTCATATCTCATATTATTTCTATCTTGAACTATAATATAGTTTACGTAATCTGTGCTCTGATCTGACACACCCATCTGGGATTTATTGAATAGAATGCACAGTTTTTGATAATCGACTTCTATAAAAGTCTTTGTTAAGCATACACTGTCAGCGTCCGGTCTTCGGACCGAATGTTTGTCTAGCGACTCTATTCCAAGCAACCCAGCATACTCGACTCACTACCAGTGTTACGTTTATGGAAAGTTTACTTACAATTTGATTTACATTTGGTATGTATGAAATATTTCTCAGTTATTGCTTATGTGTGTCTCACAATAATTCAAATCTATACAAATAAAAATTACTAGCTTGGCAAATTATCCAAAATCAGATATTTCTGTTACAGGTCAGATTCTTTCAAACCTTTTCAAACTTCCTGGCCATACCCAAGCATATATTACCGCCATAAAACTCCTATATATTTGAATAACAGGCAAGTCAAAGAAGTTCACTCTCGGTAGCTACCGATCCTCTTTTTCCTATCCGATTGAAAAAAACAACGAAATTTTATTCGCCCCGACTGAGCAAAAATTCAATTTATTATTTCTAACCTGTTTATGAGATTGTTGTCGACTTCTAAGAAATCAGCCATTTTGTCGAAAATATGTTATATATATGTGGTCGGTGCTTTGCAAATCAAAAATAAGAAAATCCAATATCATATTTTAACGCGAGCACATCATAACACGAACATCTGATTCACATTTTAATATTTAGGATTGCAGGATGAATTAGCACTTGGTAATGTTTCACTATTATACTATTAAAAGCAGATGAGTACAAATATGCAAAAAACTTCGTTTGCAGGGTAATCGTCGATGGCTGAGATTTATTTGCAATCTGTCTATCGCGGCCATGTTGTAATGTTTTCTAATTCTTTATCATAAACAGAAATAATACCCTGCAATACTTGACTTGTGGTATAATCTATACGTGGGTGCTCATCATTGTTGTGCTAAATTGTTAACTTTGTAGAAAATATCGGTACACACGTTCATTCCCAGCTCAAACTGCGGTCGATTGCAACTGACCTCAATTAGCGCGAATCCAATTTTCTGTCGATAATGGCCTTATGACGACAGCATGACGTAGGCAAAAATTGACATCTAAATCAAGTCCAACTTTACAATGCGGCATGCTTTCGGGGAATACAGCCACGTAATACAGTCTGAGATAACGTAATGATTGCCCGAACTACACATTGGATTTTATCGGTACGGAGAACAGCGCGCACGTTTAGACAAGAAACGGACCATGAAAAAACAATTGGGGCTTCAACAAACAATGCCACCGCAACGAGTACCACTCTGGAAGACACTAAAGAGCTTTAAACGTCGGAAATTTAGCTATAGCCAATAATATAAATTACGTCCTGGTACCTAAGATACGTATTTCTTTTTTGTGAGACGTACAGAAATTTTGCAAAAATATTTTTATATAGACTGAAATACATTGACGATTGCCACAATCAAAATTAGATATATTTTATAAAAATTTGCAAATTATACAGGCAAGTTGATTTTATTGAATATTGGACGCTCGCACACAAGCAAGTAAAATTGCAATACTGCAAAGCAAACAGCAGTTGTTGAAAATTAATAACAAATAATTCACAATTTTTGAGATGCAAAAACAAACAGGTCCCGTCATTTCAATCTATTTCATGACTTTCATCAGTCATTATGCCAGAAAATAAATCTCTAATATTTTTAAACAAACAATTCTTTCATTTAAGCTCCACTGGGTTTATTAGAATTAATTGAGATGAAGTTACGAGCTCCAACGAAAATATTTTCAGTCATATTAGCGATTGCCGCAGAAGGAAGTTATGAAACAAACCTTAATTCAAGCTTGAAAAAGGTTAATTTATCATGGTAATTGGTTGATTAATCTCAAATAGAGAAAATTCTGTTACAAAAATGATATTTCTTGTTTTGCGAACACTGATGTTAAAAAATGTAGTGGCATTTTCGTTAGTTCCGTTTAAATTTCGACAAGCACAGATTTAACCGATTGTTTCCCACACATTTCAACAATTCTAACAAGCTTTTTTTTTTAAAAAAATGGAATTTTAATAAGCAATAACGATTTTACGCAATTACGGATTCTTTTAGAATATTCGAAGTTGAATTCAAATTTTAAACACAATCATTCAGGTACATTCTAAATACGTTCGTTTCTATGGCATAACGCCAAGCTTACAATATTGTAAGAATTTGGCATAGAATTACTACAATATCCTAATGTATTTTAAATATTCTAGTACTGGCGTCTGAAATATTCGTAAAACTGTCATAATCTATCATTATTTGCGCCAAATTTAAGCACCCATCCATGCGCGAGTGCAATTTTAGGTATTTTACGTCGACAGCTAATCCAAAGGTATGCGGATTTAACTCTCCACTCTGGCGTACGAAAGTATGCCCCAGAACTGGATGAACGTTGAAATCCTTCAGCAAAAACGATTTGTAAGGTCAAGAGCCAGATATGAACCCACTTACACGGCTTCATTAAATACAATTGATCGCCAACTTGCCAATTTCAAAAGTAATAATTTGGTGTTTGCTATTGAAACAATTTTGCGCTTTCGGATCGGTCCCAGGGTCAATTCCTTTGTAGGGTTAAGCTTTAATAGTTTAATCAGTTTGTTTTAAAACAAATTTCAAACTTACAGTTATTCAAGCGACAACTTGCGTTTTTAATCGCTTAGTCTTGATTGCAGAAATCACTAAGAGTAACATGATTGGGCGTGCTGTTCGAATAATGGTTGTAAGTAAGATATAAATTGAAAAGCATGTGCTAAACTAAGAGTTCTTTCTAGTGCATTTGGTAAGACTTGTATATATTACGTGAAGCGAGATCTTCTTGTTTTGCAATCGTAAATTTTTGACATCATATCATTCAAACATACTCATGACACAAGTCACCTAAAAAAACGCGAAAGGAAGAGCAGGTAGTATAGAGACATTTCGCCTCATGATCTCACATCCATATAAAAAGCGCAATATTTCTTAGAGTCTTTTCGTCGCCCTATATAATTGACCCATACACATTCGCGCATAATTCAGTTTTTATACTTTTAAAGTGGACTCACATATCGGAACACGACCTTGAACGTGATTATATTCTATGAAAGTCATTTTAAACGCTGATATCCTATACGCGCTTTTAAAGATTCAAAATGCCAATCTGGAGTACCTGGCCTGAAAAATATGTATATGACTGCCTAAATTCTCTTTTCTCTTTACTGAAACCTTTTACATTTTAGATAATACTATTAGAAAAATCATCGGTGAACAGGATAGCTTGAAATATATGACACTTATAGTATCACGGTAACAAAAATGGTCCCTTATTTTTGTCATTCAAATCATTCATTCAACAATTATCACTT